GGAAAAGCATGCCGGACCCCTCCCCTAGAAACACTGTCCACGAGGGCAAAGCCATTGGGGAGGTGGGCAAATTTAGGGCACTCGATCATGTGCCGAATGTGGTCAGTCCTAGGCGTCCGACATGCTATGTACGAGCTTGCGGTCCCCAACTGCTTAGACGGACACCAGGAGTTCGTGGGAGTCCGCAGGAAAGAGGAAGTCCGTTCGTGAGGCTCTCCTTTCCATTGCACTCACGACCTGTAATTGCAGGTCTTACTCACGATGTCGTGAGTAAGACCTGCAATTGCATCCACCACAGGCGTTTCACCCGCGACCGGCTGCCGCGGCTGGCACTGACGCGCCTCCAACAGCTGGCGCGCAGAGACTCACAGGTTAGGGCAGTGATAGGTCGACTCTGAGTTGGGGGGGCAGGATTTGTCCGCCCACTGTGCTCCTCCCCTTTTTTCTCTGCACGGAAGCGCCCGGGCAATACTTGTCACCGGTATCTCGTGTTGCCATGCTGTTGGTGCCCCGCGTGTCTCTCCCAGGCCAGGGTTCCCTGCATGAGAGTTTGCCTGCTGCAGGTCGGCTTGTGCAGAGTGCTGGGCCCACTCCTTCCGCGCAGAGTTCTGCCGACTCCTTGTTTTTCTTGGGCAAGCTGTCGAGCTCGTCAGAGCTCGTAGCGTCAGTGACTCCCTGTTTACCCCTCCTCCTTGTCGTGTTCGCGAAGTCTGCTTTTGTCTTTTCGTCTCAGGGCGTGGCCCGTCACTGGCCCACTGTAGGAGGGCGCCCCCAAGGTGGCACCATGGTGCAGAACTGTTCCCTCCGATATAGCTGCGCCCCGTTTGCTTTGTTTTTTGTTCCCCCTCGAACCTTCCCTGATCTTTGTTGCTGCAGTGTTACTCCTTCTCCTCCTTGAGGGTGCAAGGCCTTGTCCGCCCATTGTGCTCTGCATCGCTTGTGGCTTGTCTCGCCGTCTGTTGTCGGGACAGCGTTCCTGAAGGGCAGCGGGGTTCGTCTTATCAGTTGTTGATTCTCTCCTGTCTTCTCTTTTTGGATCGTCTTCCTTATTGTGGCCTCACTTCTCTTGCTAGCCAGTGCCCCTCCTTCCAGCGAGCTCCTCGAACCTTCTAAACCTCTCAGACCCCCCTCCTCCTCCTCCTCCTCCTCCTCCTCCTCCTCCTCTACCTTGCCTCTTTTGCCCCCTTTCCAACCGCATGTGCCCCCGAGAGCCTCCCAGACTATTCACATGCCTTCTCCTCTTCTTCCTTCCTCCTTCTTCTCCTCCGCCCTCCTCCTCGTCCTTCTCGAGTGCGTCATGATCATGCTGGGAGTCTTCTTCATTCACCACCTCGCGTTCAGTAGGCTTCGTCCCAGTGCTGGAGCAGTGCCTGAGTGGGCCCCGCTGTCAGGTGTCCCGATTCCCGCGCCGTCACCCTCCGGACACCAGGCTCTTTTTTGGATACGCTTCAAGCGACCCTGACCCTGACCTGGCCCCCGCCTCTGCATCAAACGGCGACGGTGGCAGCGGCTGCGGTGGCATCGCTGGCGGCGGTGAGGACGGCGGCGGCGGCATCAGCGGCGATGGCGATAGCGGCGCTGACGACGACGCGCTGAGCGGCCAGGTGGACGACCCGCTGAGCCGCAGCCGCGGGGACGGTCGCCTTGGCGGTGGGGCGGCCGCCAGCGAGGCTTGTCGCTGCCTCCCCCCTGGTGGTGAGGGGGGAGCTCCACGAATCACGTCGGCGGCGGCGGCGGCGACAATGGCGGCAGCAGCAGCGACGACGACGGCGTGCACCTTGATCCTCCAACTACGACGGTTGCAGCGGCATCCTCCACCACCACGACGACCACGGCGGCAGCGGCGGCGGGAGTGCCATGCGCACCTCCTGCAGCTCGTCGTGGCCTCCCCTCCGAGGGGGGGCGAGGGAGTGGGAGGAAGACGCTCCTGCTGCTGATGCTCCCCCTGCTTCTCCTACTCCTCCTTCCACTCCTCCCCCTCCTCCTCCTCCTCCTCCTCCTCCTCCTCCTGCTCCTCCTGCTCCTCCTCCTCCCCCTTCTTCGAGGATCGAGGTTTGCGTTCTTCCCTGGCCGCCCTGTTGTGGTGGGCCCTCGACTTGAATCCGCGGCGCCCCGCGTCACCTCTTCCCCCCCACCTTCCTCCTCCCGCGTCCTTATTCCAGCCTTGCCTCTGCTCTCCGCATTTCCACCCATGTCAGCACACACCTCATGCGCTTCGTGGCTCATAGGGAGCTCCACCGAAGGCCCCAGCGGCAACGTTCGCATGCGTGCCCGCGCCCATTTCGGCACACCCCTCGCACGTGTTGTGGCCCCATCAGGAGCTGCACCGAAGGCCCCAGCGGCAAAATCCGCATGCGTGCCCGCGCCCATTTCGGCACACCCCTCGCACGTGTTGTGGCCCCATCAGGAGCTGCACCGAAGGCCCCAGCGGCAAAATCCGTATGCGTGCCCGCGCCCATTTCGGCATACCTCTCACACGCTTCGTGGCCGCATGGGGAGCTCCACCGAAGGCCCTAGTGGCAAAGTCCGCATGAGTGTCCGCGCTCATGCCGTCACACCCCTCACACGTTTCGTGGCCCCAATGGGAGCTGTACCGAAGGCCCCAGCGGCAAAACCCGCATGCGTGCCCGCGCCGATTTCGGCATGTTGCTCACACGTTTTGTCGCTCCATGAGGAGCTGTGGCCAAGTTCGCTTGCGTGCCCACGCCCATTTCGGCACACCCTCACGCTTCGTGGGCCCATAGTGAGCCCCCGCTCATCTGTCTACCTGCCCTTGTGGTGCTCTTGTCTGCATATGATTAGGTGCTTCGCCAGGTTTCAAGCGGCCTCCAGGGGCCTCCAGGGATCTGCGGGACCTCCAGATACATCCAGAGATCTGTGGAAGCCAGACGTTTTTTTTTTTTTTTTTTGTTTTCAATCTCGACGTTGTTCCTTTGTTATTGCCCTGGCGGACCGTTTTCGGGTCCAGGGACAAGCAATCGTGAATCCGAGACGAAAGCGGCTTGCGAATTGTAGAAAACAATCCGTCCGAGGTCTGGCTCTATTCTCCTTCCCGCCTCTTCCCTCCTCGCCGCCCCCTCCTCCTTCTCGGAATGGTGAGCTGGGGGGAGCAGTAGTAAAAGGCAGAGGACGAGAGGGAGGAGGTTACATGGGAGGAGACGTAGGATACCATCTTTTCAAGCTTCTGGTTAATGCATGCGGGGAAGTCTCAAGCGATAGCTCGTCTCTAACCTTATGCGTGCTGCAAGCTTTGAAGGCACATGGTCGCGGTGCTGAGGCGACGGCCACATCTTGAGAGCCACCGATTCTCCATCCTGTAATGTGCGCGGCGTTAGGGCGAGAGCCCGATATTGAAAACCACTGGTCTTTGATCCTTGTAACAGTCGCAAGTGTTTACGACGAATGTGCGCGGCGCTAAGGCGAGAGCCCGATTATAACAACCACTGGCCTTCGATTATTGTGACTTTTGCAAGTGTGTAAGCATTGGGGTGATTGCAAGTTGCAGGGGCGTCTCAAGCGAACCGCCCATTCTGGCCTACGGACACGTCTGGTGATGCTACAAGGGGGGAGTTATTGAGCCCATATAGCGGGAGTCACGGCGGGCCCCCAGGGGGAAGTTTGCACGCAGATTTCGCAAGCAGTGGGGGCTGCCTGGACGAGGGTCGGTACCAATCGCTGCAATGTCTCTTGGGGATATGTTGGCGTCCCACAGGGGGTCGGACGGCCTTTTGGGTGCCAAGGGGGGGGCGAAGTGCGCGAGGGGTGCCCTGAATTTAAGCTCCCCTGAGCATTTCTGAGGGGTCAGCTGAGAGCGTGGGGGGTGTGCCGAATTGAACCCTACGTGGCCCTCGGAGCGCAGATCACCTATATTGTCGCGTGTCCCAGCAGAGTGTGGAGCAGGAAATGCGTGAGAAGTCTGCCGAAATGGCAGTGTCGTAGCCATGAATGCGTCTCTCACTCGTATTTTTACGCGTCCCAGAATAATGTCAAACAGAACATACGTGCGGGGTGCGCCGAAATGAGGCTTTCGCAGCCGTGGGGGCGCATCTCACTTGTGTTTTTCGTGTCCTAGGAGCTGTCACGCGCATGGGCCCGGCGCTGGGAGCACGCTTAAGTCATCTGTTGACGTGTATTGACAGTCGGCACTCTTTGCCTCCCTGTTGGCCTCTCTCCTCTCTTTGTTTTTTGCTTGACTGCCTGCCTGCACAAACGGCTTGCGCCTTCAGCTGCGCACCGCCCCTACGTGGTAGGTCTCGGACCGGCTTCGCGGTGGACGACATGGCTCCATCCTGTAACATTGAATGTCATTGTAGCTGCGGCTACCTCTTCTTGCGTTATTTCTGCACTTCCCTCTTCCCCTCCCAGTGTGGGGCCTATGTGCGCGCACCCTGGGCGAAGCCTCATCTGGTCTACGCACTCACGAGCTTGGCTCCCCTCTCCTCCTCCCGCTTCTCCCCCTTCCCTGTTATCCTGTATCTCGGCCACGCTGGGCAGAGCCCAGGGTTACGACGAACCCGACGCACTCGTTGTATCTCCCACGGGCCGCCAGAAACCAGCGTTGCGATGAATTGTGGCGTTTGTCGGTTCTGCGCAGCCTGCCTCTTCCCCTCCTCTTCCTCTTCCTCTTCTCTCTCCCTCTCTCTCTTGCCGCCGCGGTAGTGTGTGCTGTCGCACGAGCTCCGCTGCGAGTTCCGCCTTGCTTGCGTGGGTCTGCGCCAGTCTCTCCCCACGGGCTGCGGCCTGATCTCCTCCCTCACTCCCGCGTTGCGTTTCCTGCGGGCACCCCCGAAGAATTGATACAGATTGGCCTCGTCGGAGCACATCGAAGCATCTTCGGGCCAGCGGAATGCACGAGGCAGCTTCCAGCATGCCTTTCTGCTTCTCGCTCGCCTCCATCATTCTCCATCTCATCATCTGCCCTCGACGTCTGACACGGCGAGGGCCCGCAGAGGCTCGCCGAATAATCGCTTCGCTCACTCCGCCGGCTCATCCTGTATGTAGTGTTTGGTGGCCTTCGGCCAGGCTGGGTCGTGGACAACGGGTCTCGTTGGGAGCCTTGTTGGGGTCTCTCTTGGGAGGCCTCCCGGTGTCTCGTGGCGACATCTTGGGGCATACTGGGGGCCTCTTGGGACCTCTTGGGGGCCCCTGGGGGCCTTGGGGCCTTGCTGGCGGTCTCGGTGCCATCTTCGGGGCTCCAGATGGCAGTTCGGATTCCCCTCTTGGGGCCCTCTTGGGGGCCTCTGCACCCCCCTTTGGGGGGGGGGGGGCCCGCTTGGACCGCCTAGGGGCCTTCCTGAGGGCCTCTTGGGCCATGCAGAGATTATCTTGGGCGTCTTTGAGCGCTCACCGTCTGAGATCATCCTGGTCTCTCTTGAAAGGTTCCATGGGGCGTTCCTGGGGTTCCCTGGGGGGCCCGGAAGGCTCCACCCAGGAGTGGGCAGTGTATTCTTCGCCCAGGACCCCGGGGGCGACCCCGCGCGCGCGAGCTAGAAATGTTCTAGACCTGTTGCCAGAGATCTTAGAACGCCGCTGGCCCGTTGGGCTGGCGGATTAATAATATAATGGGGATCTGGAAGGATAATGAGGAGGACGGAGGTAGGGGTGGCCAGAGAAGAGGGAGAAACACCAGTTTGAGAAACAGAGGGAGAATGAGGATGAGGAGGGGGACTGGGAGGAGGGTGGATGATGATGATGATGATGATGATGATGATGATGATGATGATGATGATGATGATGATGATGATGCTGATGATGATGATGATGATGATGATGATGATGGTGATGATGATGATGATGATGATGATGATGATGATGCCGATGATGACATAGATGATGATTGATTGATATATTGATTGATTGATTGATTGATTGGTGAGGATGACGACGACGAAGACGACGACAACGACGACGACTATGATGATCATGGTTGTTACGAGACTGATTATGGTGCTAATGGTGATGCTGATGCTGATGCTGATGATGATGATGATGCCGATGATGATGATGATGATGGTGATGATGATGATGATGATGATGATGATGATGATGGTGACGATGATGATGATGATGATGCTGATGATATTGATGATGCTGCTGATGATGATGCTGATGATGACGATGATGCTGTTCATGATGATGATGCGGCTGATGCTGATGCTGCTGATGATGATGGTGTTGGTGGTGATGATGATGGTGGTGGTGGTGATGATGCTAATGGTGATGCTGATGCTGTCATGCTGATCATGATGATGACGATGATGATGCGGATGCTGACGATGATGATGGTGGTGGTGGTGATGATGACTGTGATGATTCTGATGTTGATGAGGATGCTGCTGCTGATGATGATGCTGTTGATTGTATGATGGTTCGGATGATGAGTCTGATGATGATTGTTATGATGATGTGGATGAGGAGAGGTGGGAGGAGGACGTGGAGGAGGAGGAGGAGGAGAAGGCAGGAGGATGTAGGATGGAGGAGAGGAGGAGATGAAGCGGAGGAGGGGGATGTAGGATGTAGGCAGGAGGAGAGGGAGGTGGGGGAGAGGAGAAGGAGCGGGTGGGTGGATGGGTGGAGAGATGGAATAAGAAAGCGAGGAGCAGGATAATGACATATTTGGT